ATGCAATTGCTGGCCAGGCGTCGATTTGTTCACTGAATATTTTGTGGATGCATTCCGGCGGCGGTCACTGGGGAGTCTACAGTCCAGAGTCCAGAGTCCAGAGTACCGAGTACGGCGTGAAGAGGGCAAAGTTAACATTACGAAACCAGTTAGCAGATAGTATAATTTCCGCTATCGGCGTTTTGTATCCGGCGAACGACAAGGAATGCCGGCCAAAATGCAGGACACTTTCGACTTTTTGGGATGGGACTTTGCATGCAACCAAAAAGGAGTAAACAGGACAACAAGGGGTCGACTTGAATAGTACTTAGTACTTATGGTAGTTTAAGGAGGAGGCAATAATCGATACAGTTGTGTTTTGGAAATTGGAATTTTTAAAATAAATACTTATCATAAAACCGATTCAGAGGTTTAGTACCCGATTAAAAATGTATTAAAATGCAATTTAGTATTAAAAATACAAATACATACCTTTTGAATATATAAATATGTAGTAGATATATCATATCCCTTTTATAACCCTGCAGAGTATTCAAATTTTATTGACAAGTTCTTTGTTTTTCAAGGTTTTTGAAAAACCTGTATCAATTTTTAACAGGTGAAATGCAACGTATACGTAATATTACGTATACGCATTGCTTACATACAAATTAAAAGTTGATTTACAATCGCAATACCATTATTGGTTTTTGTATGAAAATTAATTATAATTAATTGTTTTAGATTTTGTATAAAGCTTTTAGTCTCCGAAAGTTTTTAGAAGGAATGATACGTATACGTAATATTACGTATACGCAACGATTATATATGAAATTCTTTAGGCAAGTTCTATATTTTTTTTTATATATGAATATGAATCACCTTTATATTTTCAGGGTTTTAAAAATCCAGTTTCGATATTCCTCAGTGGAAATGCGACGTATACGTAATATTACGTATACGCAATGGCAACATATTTAATTACAATCAGAACTTCACTATTGATTTTTGCATGAAAATTAATTGGAAATATTTACTTTTAACTTCTTGTATAAACACTTTTGTGTCCGATAGTTTTTAGAAGGAATGATACGTATACGCAATGATATATGAAATTCTTTAGGAAACTTCAATATTTTCGTTTTTAATAAATATGAATCACCATTATATTTTTAAGGTTTTAAAAATCCTGTTTCGATATTCCCCACAGAATATACGCGACGTATACGTAATATTACGTATACGCAATTTGTATACCAATTTATTTTACTGCATGTTTTGAAATCATATTTGGTCTGCTTTGGAGTTTAAGGTCTGCTTTATTTATCCGACTTAAGAAGTATACTAAATAGAGGTATACTATATACTACTACTCCTACTATATGCCAAGGAAACCCTAACAGAACCGCTTTCTAAATGAAATGGCTATTAACTCTCCTAAACAGGCACTTTGGCAAGCTTCGTGTCCCTGTCGAACCATTGGAAAGCCGTGCCACAGAGGCTTTCGCGCAGACTTAACTGTTGCAAATACCAAATATACCCCTCTGCACTCGGCGAGTATCCTGTAGAAACATTTCCCCTAAAATAATGGCAATTGGCAAGCTTCGAATGGGGTAGCCATGCCATGAATAAGTAAACGAGTGCTCCAGCACTGAGTGCCTGCAATTGGTGTCGTGTAATCGCTGCATCTGTTTGGTCTCCTTCGGTTCCTTTGGTTCCTTCGAAGCTTCGGGTTGGTCATTCAGCAGTTCCAATCCCAATCCCCCCGTCTACATAAGCCGTAAAGCTTATTACGAGTTTTAGGTTTCCAAGGAGCACTCTTCTCCTCCGGTGAGTAACGGCCACCTTTTCTTTTTTTTTTTCCCCTGTGCATATCTGAGTATTTTGCGGTGCCGCATAAATATTCGTACTCAATCGGCAATCACAATTGTACATGCAACTTTTTGTTAGCCATTGTGTGGAACACAAGTGGAATTACCATCTAATGGGTGCTCTGAATAGTCACAGTTTGAATAATTTACCACTGGGACGGGACAGTGTGCCTAATGGGGGGTCTAAAAATTGAAGAAGGACTTTCTAGTGGTACATATGTAAATATGTTATATATATCAAATATATTCGTATATTCTTCGTATAAAACAGATGAAAGTTTTGCCTTGGAGACTTTAGATTTAACTAATTGATTTGTTATATTAATAAATCACCCATAAAAATTATATTAAAATAAATATGTATAAATATTTCTGATCTGAATCTATGCAAATATATATATTCTGTGCCTGAGATAAGGTGTGCTTACATACTTTCAAGAGAAAGTTTGGCTCTAATGTACTTTCTCTTTTTACTTATCTAGCTTTTTAATTGAATTTCAAGAGAGTTTTGGATCTAACCCGAAGCAACCAAAAATTTTGTATAATGTATCTATCTTATTAAACCCTTGCAGGGTATTATAATTATACTCAGAAGGTTACAATTCACTGAAGGAATCATTTCCGACCCTATAAATCATATATATTATTGATCAGCATCAACAGCCGAATTGATCTAGGCTTCTCCGAAAGAAAAAAAAATTATAAATTTTTTTTTTAATTTTATAAGGGGTTATCGTTAAAATTTGCAAAAAAAAAAATGATAAAAATTTTAATTTTTTTAAATTTTAAATGGAGTATGCAGATTTATTAACCTTATAAAAATTAACACAGAAGTGCTTTCCGAATTGAAATTACTGCTTTTTAGCTTAGTTATGAGTTTTTTACACGTTGATTTGTCGAACAAATTTGCATATAAAAATATTGATAAATATCGATTCAAAAATGCGAATATTTTAAGCCTACCTGTGATCGATTTTCGATAAATCATATAATTAAATTACTAAGATTCCTTTCTTGTTTTAATTGGATTTTAAGAGAGTTTGAAGTCAACTCCAGAGCAACCAAAAATCGTATGACATTCCGTATCTTATTATTAATATCATTTTATTTGATGTACCTTTATCTTTAAAAATCCACAATTATTTTCTGTAAAAAATTTAATAAAATGTCTTTTAGTGTTACTTACAAAAAACAGTATAAAAATATGAAAAAATATTTGAAATCCATCTAAAATCGGGTTAGCAAATGCTTTTTCTTTCGATTCCACAAAAAAATACGCGTACTATAACCTAAAGTCCAAGGTGAAAACTGAACACCTTGGGGCAAGGATGGCAAGGAAACTCTTCTATCTGCGACTGACACAAGAAAAAAACGAAAATGGCAACGGTAGCAGGGTGGAAATTAAAGGGGAGGGAGTAGAGGGAAGGAATGGAACACGAGCCTGTTGGTAATTGACGCCCACAAAGAAAGAGGCGGAAAAACTGAGGGAGGATGGGCGTTGGGTGTTGGGTGCTGAAAGGAAAATGTTGAAAATGCTGCTGGCGATTGGGTTGCTGCTTTGGCAAACCGTGTAAACCAACCGCATCCCATCCGAATCTCAGTCCCACTCCCACTCCCATTCCCACTCCCAAATCCGAATCTGAATCCCAGCCTGCTGCTGCTGCTGCTGCTCCCATCATTCGACGCAGTCAAGTGTGCAACACTTTTGGGGGCATTCGCAGCATGCGCGGCATTAACTTTGCATCTCTCTTGCTCCCATTTCATGTTTTCCCCCCTTTTTCTGTGCGAGCAGAGGCTCTGTGAGTCGAGTTGAGTTGAGTTTGAGTCGAGTCAGTCACTCACTCAGTCAGTTAAGTTTCCTGCCCCAGCAATTATATCATTTCCCCGATGCCAAGTGGTCCGCCATCGCCCCCGTCGCGCAGGGAGTCTCGTTTCATTCGTGCGTGAACGAATTTAAAGCTAATTTGCACATTTTTCATATTTTATATGAATTAGTTATGCCTCTGTTTCCAGTGTCTGTGCCAGTAACGGAGCACTGGCAAAAAATAATTACTTTTTTTATTTAAATAACAATTATTAATTGATATGTATACTAAAGAACTTGCTCATACTTTTCGGTAGAGATTCACATATCCATTTTATATATTATAATTATTGAAAATAAGATGTGTTCCTTTTAGGGAATTCTCAAGTTTTTATGTTCAGTTTAAAACGAAACCCAATAAAATATATAAAAAAATTGCAATCGATTTTAGAAGGTTTTTCTCAACTGTATCTTTCACTGCTTAATTTTCGCTTCCTTTCAATTTGCCGCTGTTTATGTTAACCAAGATCAAAGGAAAAATGTGGCATTCCAACACTGCAACTTGCCAACTGAAGCGTTGATAGATGATTTCGATCAGGAAGCGGAATAGGGATCATATATACATATCCCACGCAGCCTGGCGCAATTAAAACCCAATTTAAATAACATTAGTGGGCATTTTTCAGCTAATAACTTTATTAACTCGTTGTTAACTGGTTTAAGCTGTAATGATGGAAAACACGTCAGGTTTCAGCTGGTTAGGGATAATGTGTAGAGTTACATTTTAATGAATATGTACATATAATTAATATATTACGTTTAGTGGTATTTCTGCGAAAAAGTAGAGGAAAAATAGGAATATATGTATAGGATATTCATAATATTTTACATATCCAGTTCTATAGTTCACATTTTACCCCAAAACATGTCGCAAGACATTACAGTTATAAGCAATTTTAATAGATTTTTAGTTAATTTTCAGATAACTTTATTAGATAGGACTCTTTACTTTTATATCATTAAGCCTCGCTTCCTGTCCGCCCACGTGTCGTATGAGTAATGAGTTTCAAAAGTATTGAAATAATTGAGAAATTGTGTGCTAGCTAGTATTTCAAACATTTCTTAATGAAAAAGAAACATTAATAAAATAAATAATAATATTTATTAGAAGCATTTAAGTATTAAGCTAAATGCGTAAACATGATAAATTGATCAGCCTAATATGTTCTTGCTATAGTACAATTCACAGAGAATGTGCAGATCCTCATGGGTCAGGTTAATGCCCTCGATTTTTGCTACATTTTCGTATTGATCTCCAGAGTACTTCATCCGCAATTCGTGTCCTACTAGCTTTTTGCCGATTTGTGGATAATAGAAAGCTTGCGAATCACCCTCTTAAAAACATTTAGCTTATAAGTGGTGATCTCCTGCAGCTCCGGTGTCCACATATCCATGCCCAGGAGATGACGGGCCAATGCAATCGAAGCGGATGCCACCAAAGAGGGCAAAATCCCCATGAAGATATTTCCCTTCACCAGTGACAGCTCCGAAATGTACATTGCCAAGTATTTCAGCTTATTTGGCATTTCAAATAGCACCAAATATGCATTGATAAAACAACAGGAAGTCGGTGTGAATAGATTGTGGGAGAGAGTATGAAGCATAATGTTCTCCATGTCCAGCACTTGCTTCTTGGTGTAATTGTCTTCGGTGAGGAAGCTAAAACTATCCACATTCTGTTGATATTTAGAGGCAATGTACAAGGCTGTTCCTCCAACCAAACGCAAACTAGATTTCTTCACTTCTTTAACTTGTAGGGTCAAGTAGCGATCGAGGTAGCCGACGGCTAGATGAAGGGTCTCCGTGTTCAGATTGTACTTCTTGCATATCTTCACCATCCAGTTAATTACCTTGGAGCGATCCTTATGATTGATTTCCTTCTGCATGAGCATAAAACATGGCTTTGGGCGATATTTCATCTCGTATTTCCGCAAATTATCAAGTATTTGTCTGTGGTGGGGGAGCACTTCGAAGACGACGCTTGTCGGCTGCTGAACTCCCGGAATGGAAGCGCCGTGGTTTTCCTTGTCCTTGGAGGTCTGCTGGAATTCCATTTTCTTGCCTTCCATCGCGTTTACCAAATTTTCTTTATCAAATTTTAGGCAGACACACAAACTTTGTGGGAAAACTGTAGAATTAATTTGACATTTACTGGAAGGCTTTTATTTGTTTTTGAAAAAATACCAAACTATAACAAGCCTTTTTTAGGGATTTTTAAATGTACTCGAATCAGGTTAGTCATCATAAAGTTCCAATTTAAATTTATGCTAATTAGGAATATATATTGTATGCTATATAATTCTATACCATATTTCATTTTTTCTGCTTATTTTTCAAAGTGGATAGTGGTCAATACCTTAATAGTACCTTCTGGCCAGAGAAGTTCATGTTTTTGTGTTCATGGCCAGCAGGATTACACAAAGTTGGCAATGCAATTTCCTGGACACCTTTCACAGGCCAAACAGAAAGAGGGAAAGACCGACTGCAACAGAAACAGGAAGTACTCACCATCGTGTGTTGGGGGTAAAAGTGAACAATTGCAAAGCGTAAATGAAATTTCAGTTTACGAAATCATTAAATATTCAACGCAAATGGAAAGTGCCAAAAAGCCGACTTCCCCTGGGCTAATAGGTTACTTAGTTTGTCCCAGAACCTTACCTTCCAACTCCTACAATGTGCCTGTAAAGGTGGGTAACTTTCTTTCTTTTTTTTTTGGAGGGGGGTGGGAGGTTGAAAGTCCACAGGAAGTCCGAAGTTCGAAGGTCAGAGTGATATATAGGAGCAGAAAGTGGGCGTCAATGTTAATGGCTGGCACGTAGTTCACTCACTCACGGGGAACGGTTGCTAAAGGATCCTTCTGCTGGTGATGCCACCAGTGCCTTAACACACTTTTCTATTCGACATCGCCTTTTTACATATTTAATGAAATTATTTTCAACAATTTATAATTGCCACGAGCACAACCATGGGCTTGGCCAGCAACAGCAGTAGCATCAGCAGCATCCTTGGCAGCGTTTATTTAAATGCGCCCCGGGGAGCGTTTTGCCGGCAAACAAAATTATTATAAAGATATACACCGAAATATGTATATATGGAATAATTAGATGTAGTATCCACTACCTGAACTCTGGGTACTGAATACTGGAACCAAGGATTCCGTATCCCCTGGCACCGGTTAAGCTGTTATACCCTGAACGATAAACAATCTAACTAATAAGGCCTCGCATCTAATAAGACGTAGACGAGGTCCTGCCAAAGCGGCAACAACATTGTCCACAAAGGACATTCACCTCGTTACAAGGTCCTTGGATAATTTCAAGCGGGAATTTTTGGTAAATGAAGTATAAATATTTGGCCAACAACTTGTGCAAATTGAGTGCCGGTTTAGGGAAGAGGATAAGCGATGGTCGAAATGAAGCTGTAATGGTTGATTAAAATGGTTATAAGGTGGATAAATTATGAACGTAGAATGGAAGTTGTAGCTTTTAAAAGTTTTCAAAATACTGCTACTAGGAAATAGGAAACTAAAACTATACTATACTAGGAAATGTAACTAAATATATGCTAAGGACCTGAAAGATTTATAAGGCAATATCTGTTTATAATTATTGTATTATTAGCTAGATAAGTCTAACTCGCATCGCAACATTTTTTTTAGCAGTGCTGCGTATCTAACAAAGACTCAAAGTCAGAGTCAGAACTTACTTATATGTCACGCATCTATATTGAGTATTTTTGGCCTTGGCATGTGCCCATAAATTAATCCATAAATAAATCATACTTTCCTCCTATTTTGAGCCTGGGAACCTTCTGGTTTTCGATTTGGCACGTAATTCAACAATTTGGTGAGTGGCTGAAAAAAGGCTTTTGAATTTTTAATTGGACAGGCATTCGTGCGAATGGAATGGATGCTTTAGTCCCTCCTATTTTGTCCTGGTAAATGTTGTAATGATAACAATTTGGCAATATATATATACATATTTATATATATTATATCCCATTTGTTGGGCTTGTCGGCTGCTTATCATTTGACAGCCTCCTCCGAGAAGAAGAACCCTTATCAAAAGTGAGGGGACGTCACATTATATTGAGCCAAAATCAGTTTACAACACGCGTGATAAGGGGAGGGGAAAATGCCGAAACAAACACGAACGGAAAATCTATTTCGTATTTACCCATTTTCCTTGTCACATTTAACTAAGGGAAAACCTGATGAGGGGATCAGGATCAGGATTGATATAGGGATTGGTATTGAGGCTCTCGTTGTTGTTTATTAAACTTGAATGACCCACACACACACACACTCACACACACTCATGGGAAACAATAGGCCATCAATCAAACTTGGCTAATAATGCAAATATCTGCGACCTCAACACTCCTTTGAACAAATGCCAGGCTAATGCAAATAATTGGCACGACCCGCGTGTGTCCTTTGACATTCATTAAAATAGTTGAACCGCTCGACATTTAATTGGATATAATTCCAGGAAGGATGTGTATTCCTTGCTTAAACCTGGGCTACCCTTAATTACTGAATACATTAAGTAAACAACCGAAGCCACCGAAGATTATGATATTTTCAGCCGGGCATGTTTTTATTTTTTCTTTTTTGTGTGAGTGTACGGATGAGGCAGCTGCTGGGATGCCTCCAAAAAGATGCACAAAAGCCTCTGCCTGCACCATCCTCCAGCTCATGAATATTCATATTCCCCGTCAGCAAGGGCACTGAGAGAAATGTAACTAGGATTATGTAGCGAAATTTGAAGGTATTAAGGCTCTCCTAAACATTTTGTTTAGAAGCCAGAGAAAGAAAAATGGAAAGAGATAGAAAGATAAATACAGTGGTAGAGCGAGAGAGAGAGAGATAGAGAGAGAGAGAGAGAGAGAGAGAGATAGAGAGAGAGAGATAGAGAGAGAGATAGAGAGAGAGAGAGAGAGATAGAGAGATAGAGAGAGAGAGATAACGAGAGAGAGAGAGGGGGGAGGGAAGATTAAGAGAGACAGAAAGAAAGATGAAAGCGAAATACAGCGAGAGAGAGAGAGAGAGGTAGATATTCTTTAAAATTCGAGATCTGTTCTTAATCTTTGTATAATAACAAATGGGACAGAATTTTACTTTTAGATATTAATGCACTTAACTTTGTTCTGGCAAAAGTGCTTGTTCGCATTTGAACATTTAAATATAGGAGTGCTTTAATAGTCAGCAACATATTCCTTTATTATTATATCCTTGCAAGGGTATTCTAATTTTAGTCAGAAGCTTGAAACACAATGAAGGAATCATATATATTCTTGATCAGCATGAACAGCCGAATCGATCTAGCTATCTCAGGCAGAAAAAAAGTGTTACAAATTTTTTCAAAATTTTATAAGGGTAACAAGTTCTTTTCTTTTAATAATTTAGAGAAAGAAATAAACAATGAAGTCAGGAAAACAAAATCTTTTTCCAAAGCTTGCTTATACATTTCAATAATTCTTCTAATGGGTATGATATATATTCTATGGGATCATTATCATCATTAACTTGGATCTAAGATTTTTTAATATGTTGATAACAAACTATATAACTATATTAAATTATATGTATGGAACACCAATACTGCTATTTGTATTAAAATTAATTATCCATTTTCATTCATTTTCATTTGCCTCTCTTTTTAATTTTTTTTAATATATATCATGGCGTACATGGCGTATACGTAATATTACGCATACGCAACGATTTATTTTATTTATGCATGCAATTTCTTTACGCAAATCCATTACTTTTGTTATATATATTCTTTGAGGATTTGAGAATCATGTTTCCATATTTATTAGGTATAATATACGTAATATTACATATACGCAATGCTTTCCTATTAAAATACAAATGTAACTCCAATATTATTTTTATACCCTTTGCAAGGGTTTCATAATTTTAGTCAGCTTTATTAATATCAATGACCGATTCGATCCTTTAATTAAGTTGCAAACTGAAAGGGTATCTAAACTTCGGCTTCCCAAAGTTAGTTTCCTGGCTTGTTTAAAAATGTGCTTTATTTTTTGACTGCAACACAAATTCAAAGGCTCTTTAAGGATTATTTTACATTTGAATTACGAGTTGGATATTTCTCTCAGTGCTATCCCCATACATAAAATGCGCCAGCAACAACAACTAGCATTAGCAGCATCTCTAACAGCAGCAGGAGCAACAACAAGGATAACAGTAACGGTAATGGTAACGGTGTGCAAATGCATGTCCATGCAATGGGCCAGCGAGTACCCTCAGCCTGTGTGCGTGCTATTAGTAGCTGTCACTCGTTACACGTATGTACATACCCTTTACATACATATGTACATACATACATACTAAATTCACTTTTTTTGTTGCGGCTGCTTTTTGTCCTTACTCCTTAAGAGCTCCTCCTCTCCCACACTCCTAGCACTCATGTTTTTTGCACAACGTTTCATTACTTTTGTTTGTTTATATTCTTTGTCATATATATACGTACATTTATTTTCCTTTTTTATTTTGTTGTCGTCACTGTTTACTATAAAATTAGCATATGAAAGAGTTGATAACAGTGCTCACACCAGACAGCGAGTGCGGGAGGTGGCAGAGCTAAAACGAGGAAAAAACTAACAAACAAAAACAGAAAATAGCGTGCTAAAAATTTTTATATATATATATATGTACATACATATTTTTTATGACACAATATTTACGGGGTTTACGATTCAAAAATCCTTTTAATCGAACATGCACAAATATATAGCTGCTTGGTTGTTGGATTAAGAATATTTATATACTTAATGGAATAAAAAAATGTCTCCTTGACTGTATTTGAAAACTTCCTTTTAAAATTAATAATACCCTGCAAGGATATACAAGTAAATATATCAAAATGTCCAGCTATCCAATTAAAATCAAGTTACTAAGTTGAGCTTGTATTCTCTTTAATGTTACTCTTAATTAATTTAAACATTAAGGAGTAATTAGCGAAACCGGATATAATTTGAAAGAAACTCTGAATTCAATTGTGATGTTACAGAAGATTGTTATCAGACAAAGTACAAAAAAAGGTTTTTTCAAAACAACTTTTGCCTTAAAATATTAGGATAAGATATATACATATATATACATCGTTCAAAATCGCAAAGATTACAAGAAAACCGGGTTAAAAAAAACCACAATCCTTTTATTTCATGTTAAACACACACTAGAACATGCTCAAAAAGCTACTTTGCATATTGAATTACAAAAAAAAAAGTAGTAATATATAAATATGTATGTATATAGATACATATTTTTATATTTTACGAGAAACAGTGACAACTATTTGCCTTGCACTGACCAATCCAGTGTCCTTGACGCTTGCAGTATCCATGGCACTGGGGGTGGTGTGGATGATACCGTGAGAGCTGCTCGCATAGAAGCGGATCCGTCAGGACGTGGCGGACCTTGATGGACACTGTTCCCCGTGCCTTGGTGACAGCCTCCTCCCCATTGCCGGTGTCCAGCTCATTGGCATCGGGCTCAGGACTATCCGCCTCAGAGGGTCGCGCTTGGCCCAGGCCAAAAAGCAAGGCGGCAAGGATAACACCGACCAGTAGCAGAAGCTTCATCGCACTTGTCGTCTTCGTCTCTCTCCGGCAAACAAACGACTGAATGGCGCAGTTCCTAACCACGTCGCCCTTCCGGGCACAAGCCGCATTCGGTTTACCGTTGAGTTGCTGCTGCCGCCGCCGCCTTATCAGCCCCAAGGTCAGAGCTCAGCTCTAATCATCATATTCATGCTCGGCCTCGGTCCCTACTTCGGAATCGAATTCAGATTGAGTCTGGCCATGACCAGGCAGCCGCATAAAAAATATAGGGTGACTAACTCTCGGATTCTTCTTGCGACTAGCACTAGATCAAGCAGTTTCTTTGAAACTCTTAATTGGTTCTGCGAAACTTATCACAAAATTAACTTAAGTCTCCCTTTTCATAGAATGTTGTAACTGCAATAAATTAAATGATAAAAAATGTATAAAGCAAAAGAATGAAGTTGGAGATACAAACATCAAATTATCGTTAAATTGTCCATGTCGTTGAGATTATATTCCAGATTTGAAGTGTGTTTTCAGAAAACCATTTTGTAGAATCTTAAGACTTATCCTTAAAAAAAAAAAACACATTTAAATTGTTGTGCCCTTGAAACAAAGTTTAGTTTTTATTTGTTTTTTCGTACATTAATTCATTTCAATCTTTGAGTAAACCCACATTTGTTTCATTTGCATTCAATATGTGTAATTTGAATTTTTGATGGATATGCAAATAACATATCTGCTTGGCAGAAGCCAGGATGCGTTCAATCGCTGGATTTGTCGATTTTTGTTAAATTTCTTGTTAATTATATGATGGTAACTTCCTTCTGTAATTACCAATCTGCCTCGCCCTGCAAATTCTTGAATACGTATTCCGAGCCGTTGATGCGCATCACTCCGTTCCTGAGGTTGAACCTCCACCTTTGGCGGTAATGGGTGATGTTATTAAATTGGCATATGATCACATTGTCCGACTGGAACAGGTCACCATCGGAGGCTTCGTCGTCGCTACTGTTCCGAGCCTCGTCATCGTTGCGAACCTGCTGGATAGCCTCTTCCTCTTTCTCTGGCAACTCAAGCTGGACCTTAACCTCCTCTTTGTCCGGTTCCTCCTTGGCTGGTGGTAACCCGTCCAGTTCCATGGCATATCCCACAGACATGGAGTTGCGTCGAGCCTGGTAAGTGTTCAAGAGCTCTGGCAAATCGATCTTTTGCAGTTTCCATGGGATCGCAGTTGGAACTTCACTGGTTACAGCAACAGCTGTGGTCACTTTGGTAGGTGCCTCCTGTACTGAAACTGTCTCATCCACAGCGTTCTTCTTGGTGTTGTCAGTGTCCATAGTGGGGCCCGTATCAGTGGAGTTGGTGTCCAAGTTGGGGATCGAGTCGATTATGTTCACTCCTAAGGCTTTCTGCATTTTGGATCCCCATACTTGCTTCAACTTTTGCAGCACAGATTCATCAACACCTGCGTCCTGAAAGGCATTGGACATGTTGGCAATCACATCGTCGATCACGGATTTGTTAAACATCAAGGTTTCAAGGCGCGGCAATTTATTCATATTTAAAGACAATTCTTCCTCAAGTTTTTTCTTTAAGTTTCTTGCTAATTTCGCAATCCAGAGATGGCAGATAAAAGAGCCCTGTTTCAAATTCTGATTGTTAAACATTTGGAACGATAAAATGAGTCAGTTCATACCGTCTTTCCGTGTGAAACAGTTGGAATATTTCGCAGATGCGAAACTCCGATTCCCACGAATCTTCATCCACCATAAAAACTGATTAACCGATTAGCATATAGAAAGATAGTTAAAGTGGCTGCTTCGGGTCAAAAATTGTTAACATAAACATAATATAGATTTTTATATTTTGCGATGAAATTGCTATATATTTTGTTTAGTTGCAAGTGCTCTATCGGAATCTGAATTTCACATCTGCCGAAAGTTCCAACTTTATCACATGAATTAATTGTGTGAGAAGATGATATTAATGAAATCATTTTATCGATCCGATTGTTCTGGAATATGAATATGAAACATTACGGTTGAGTTTCCATCCCTGGTTTGCCAATTTGAGAGAAGAACGGCGTGGTCTGTCAACAAATATAAATTTAATTTTCAAAAATATCAAAGAAGCTAAATGTCTTCAAATATGAATAAATTGCCGCGCCTTGAAACCTTGATGTTTAACAAATCCGTGATCGAAGATGTGATTGCCAACATGTCCAATGCCTTTCAGGACGCAGGTGTTGATGAATCTGTGCTGCAAAAGTTGAAGCAAGTATGGGGATCCAAAATGCAGAAGGCCTTAGGAGTGAACATAATCGACTCGATTCCCAACTCCACTGATACGGGCCCCACTATGGACACCGACAACATCAAGAAGAACGCTATGGATGAGACAGTTTCAGTACAGGAGGCACCTACCAAAGTGACCACAGCTGTTGCTGTAACCAGTGAAATTCCAACTGCGATCCCATGGAAACTGCAAAAGATCGATTTGCCAGAGCTCTTGAACACTTACCAGGCTCGACGCAACTCCATGTCTGTGGGATATGCCATGGAACTGGACGGGTTACCACCAGCCAAGGAGGAACCGGACAAAGAGGAGGTTAAGGTCCAGCTTGAGTTGCCAGAGAAAGAGGAAGAAGAGGCTATCCAGCAGGTTCGCAACGATGACGAGGCTCGGAACAGTAGCGACGACGTAGCCTCCGATGGTGACCTGTTCCAGTCGGACAATGTGATCATATGCCAATTTAATAACATCACCCATTACCGCCAAAGGTGGAGGTTCAACCTCAGGAACGGAGTGATGCGCATCAACGGCTCGGAATACGTATTCAAGAATTTGCAGGGCGAGGCAGATTGCTAATTGCAGAAGGAAGTTACCATCATATAATTAACAAGAAATTTAACAAAAATCGACAAATCCAGCGATTGAACGCATCCTGGCTTCTGCCAAGCAGATATATTATTTGCATATCCATCAAAAATTCAAATTACACATATTGAATGCAAATGAAACAAATGTGGGTTTACTCAAAGATTGAAATGAATTAATGTACGAAAAAAACAAATAAAAACTAAACTTTGTTTCAAGGGCACAACAATTTAAATGTGTTTTTTTTTTTTTAAGGATAAGTCTTAAGATTCTACAAAATGGTTTTCTGAAAACACACTTCAAATCTGGAACATATTCTCAAAGCGAAATACATACATTTTTTAATACAAGTAATAAGCATCAGAATCCACCCACGTTTTATTTAATTCGTTTCATTTCTAACCGAAATCTTAAGTTTAAGGATAAGTTGACAATGTCATGGCTTACCCGTATATACTTATGTAAATAGTATTATATATACAAACGCTAAGTTACATCAATTTAATGAATACATGCATATGTATGCACAAATGTATCTTTGAGCCAAAGGACTTTACTACATCTTGGACATGTTTTCGGCGCGTTATCAATGGTAAGCAACTTACGACAGATTCATTTTTTATTGGTTCTTTCCACTTCGAAAAGAAAAAATGAACCAGGGGAATGGGGAGATATTGGGCTGCTTCTTGGCAGCTGTTCCCTGTGTATTACACTTGAGCTCTGTTATTATTATCATTATTGTGTAATATTATCATGATTATTGTTATGGTTTTTGCATTTTAAAACAAATGAGACTCGACTGCGGGTATTAGGTCTGAACATACATACATACATACTTATGAATGTATGTACATATTTATGTATGGTCGTTGGTGCGCCAAAAATTACCCAAGAAATGTTATTTTTTATGTTCCTTTAACTGCTCGTCCGTTGCCCATCAATTTTACTAACTTCTGGAGAAAGCATACAAAGGGGAAAAAGAAGGAGAAAACGAGACAAGCTCAACGAACATAAAAATCAAATCTCCGCATAAATTGTTAGCTCAACATTTATACATACATACATTTTAGATGGGGAAATACGGGGCAAAAAATAAACAAGTAATTCAAACCGTCGAACAGTCGAGGACAAATAACAATATATCGTTCGAATCGATCTCCAGCTTTTATACATGTATGCATACCAAACTAAAAGTAACAACAAATATTATCATCATATGAATTTGTTGGTGTACATAAAAATCTCAATAAATAAAATAAGATAAAGAAGTAAAAAAAACAAAAAAAAAACCCATTGATCTCAAGGTTTACTTTGGCAATATTTCACATGCATATTTCTGATTCTTAAAGTTTTCAAAAATTTTATTTTTTGACACGTTTCCTATTTATTTTCATAAACTTTCTGAAGTTTTCTTAAGCTACCATCATTTAACAAATCCTAGGCCACGTGAACATTGAAGGAAGGAATCGAAAAGTTAAGTTTCGAAACGGCATAAATCGCATAAAGTACCCCAGACTGAATAACAAAACATGAGAAACTTTTCTCTAAACGCTTCAATTTCATTGCCGCAAATGGGGCGCAAGAAGTAGAACAACAACTAAAGAAAGTGAAGACTGGGCCTGATTGGTAAATGGGTGGTTTGGTGGATTGGTGGGTGGGTGGATGAGGCTTAAGTGAATCGAAGAAAACAGGTGGAAAAAATACGCTGAGGAAACAATTTCTGTTGTGCGCCTCAACTTGTTGATGGTCGAGTGAAACATTTTGTCAGTGGGTACAAGTTTTATTTATTTTATACATTTCCCAATTCCGCTTCTTATTTTCCCTTTTAATTAAAAAAGTTTCCGTCTTTTCCTGCTCCAACTTTGTATGTACATATGTACGTATTATTGTGGCTGAGTGCCCTTAGAGGTCCTAAGTTCCTTGAAGGGATCAAAATCTCATGCGTACACTTGTTCTATCACAGTCAAGAATTGAGCTTAAGCTTCAGCTTTTAATCACTTTTCATGTGAGGGAATATCCCAATATCGGGGTTCTTAATATTTCCCAATTAAATTACTTTTATTACATTATTTAAACAATTATTTATTCTTATACAAACAATCAACTTGGACATGCAATTATTAAATATGTATTATATATTATAATAATAGCCCTAAAAACTAAATTTTCTTATATATTATTATTTTAATGCTGCATTTTCTTCGATTGTTCACACTTTGACTATTGGAATTTTTGAAGTCAGCTGTTCAGTCCCTTACTTATTTTTATCATTCCCTATCCGGCAGAAAAAATCGGCTAAGTATCGCGATACATCCCTGATATTTTCAGTATTGAAGTCATTTGTTCGTATGGGGAATTTCCTAATTGATTATGCAAAAATCCTGAACGATCATCAGAGATCTATGATCATGTTCTGGTAAATCTTTGTGGGAGTACCCTCAACATTTCTCTCTCTCTTCGCTGTGCTAAGCTTTAGGTATCTGTGATTGCATTACACTCTGGCCACACTAAAGCGCGGGAGGAAGCCTAAGTTTGCAACATTCAATATTAAGAAGCTGTCAATTGTGGTAAAGAAACGTAGATCTAGAAATATATAAAAGTGCAGATATAATCAGAAATTCTACAAACTCGAATAATAAGAATATAATAGCTTATATTGTTTGGCAAGTGGTGTATCTTCTGCATATGCATAAAGATAAAACATTAATTGTACAAAATGTACATATTAAAATCGGGGCTTCCCCTGTTATATACGAAACAAAGGGTCCATAGTAATCACTTGGCAATATATTGGCGAGATATATACATATATGTATGTAATATGTATATTATGTATACATGCATATACAAATAGTTCTCGGGAATCGCGACACACAGATAAAGTTTTCCTGCAGATCTTTTCAGACTGTGTGTGTGTGTGGGTGAATTGATTTGAAAAAAACAAACAAATAATGTTTATATAAACAAGATAACGGAGTAGTGGAAAATTATCCCCTTTTTGTTTTTTTTTTTTTTTTGCTATCGTTGCATTTTGTTTGAACGAATCCCTTGTTTATTATAATAAGAAATACAGTTTGTCAAGTAATTCTTTGCAAAACAAAAAATCCCTCACAATTTTGGGTTTAAACTGAAAATTTATTTATTTATTAACAAATACAAGAATTTTTAAAAATTTTCTTTTATAATATTATTAGGATAACTTTAATATATATAAATATAAAAAACAAAACTTAAATATTTAAACTTAAAACATAGTCAATAATAACAAAAACAAAAACATTGCAATTCGTATGCTGTCAATTAATTCTTTGAAAATGCAAACAGGAGTTGAAGAGATTCCTAGAATTAAGCAACGCAAAGCTAATTCTGAGGAAATTAACGCTTGCCACAGTCCGAATTAAAATTAATGCTTTTTTGGCTGAGTTATAAGTTTTTTAAACTTTGATTTGTCGAAAAAAATCTCATATAAGAATATCGATGAACAATGATTCAAATAATGCGAAAATTGAAATCTTGGTTATGATCGATTTCCGATTAAATCCTTGGTAATCCAATGATTGTAGGTCCTTCAATATCCTGAAGCAAACTATTAACTACTTGCGAATATAAAAATTATAGTCAAATATTTGGAATATCAAATGGACTATAAATAAAATCTTATGCATTATCATTGAATTTCTAATTCGCTCTTTCCTTTGATAAACAAATGCATAATTAGTAAGTTCTGTTCTGTTGAAACACCAAGTGGAATATGTGTAACAACCATATTGGAAATCTTGTAAACTAATTGTATTACATCTGAAGCTACACACAAAGATTATGACATCTTGTGGGTCGTCCTCAGTAACCCTTCGGCACCCACCCACCCATTCCCCTTTGGCACCACATGTGTGTGTGCTTACATTTTGGGACTCGAATGAATTTGGATGACATCGTCAAACAATTACACAAGTTCGCAATTAATTTGTCTCCACAATATGAGACCGGCTCAAAGTCAAACTACCAGCCATAGGCATTAATTACACTGTCCGAAAATAAGGCTATTGGAGTAATAATATCTTACAAATAGGTATCTACATACACGAAAGGAAAACTGCACTGTCGGAGATGTGTCAGAAGGTAAAGTGTGGCCGGGAAACCATTTAATTTGTTTACATGCAATGACATGTGTCACATATCTAAATGTCCTTTCTATCCATCCAAGCCAACCCCAGGATTAGAAAAACAATATATAAATTAGCAATGATTACTCCCAAAACAACTTTGATTTGTTTAAGTCTAATGAAAATATTAATGATATATGTATCTACTTATATCAAATAGATAATAAATAAAATCTTATGCATTATCATTGAATTTCTAATTCCATCATCCCTTCACCCGTTTGCCACTATTCATATTAAATTCGAATGCGATTCGTTTGTCAAATGCAATCTATTTATGAATCACGTATAGGACGGGTTGACTAACACATTGTAATCCCCCCCCCCAGAATAGTTTTCGAGTTTTTAATAGTGGTATATATATTTATATATAAATATCTTATCTTATAGAAACCTATAAATGCAAAAGATTAGCCACAGGAGTGCATCATTTGTTACCATTTCATGGTTCTGGGTTCAGTGCAAAATTTAATGTCAGTTAAGAATTCGTGAATTAAACGCTAGCTACTCCCTTTTGGCATTATTTTTTGGTGAATGGGGGCGTGTGGAAGCAGACAAATCAGAAGTGCTCGCAATTTTGTAATTTTGTTCACGTTTCTTTTAATTAAAAACCCAAAGGAAGACCGGCAGGGATGGATGGTTAAGGCTACAAACTACAAGGCGCCTGGAGGGGTTGCCCGACAAATCAAAAAGTTGCCGAGATTTCCTCGTGGCAGTCACTCTTCTTCTGCTTTTTTCTTTTTTTTTTTTGCTTTTACTGTAATTATACCCTTGTAGGGTATTATAATTTCAGTCAGAAGTTTGCAACGCAGTGAAGGAGGCACCTCCGACTATATAAAGTATATATATTCTTGATCAGGATCAACAGCCGAGTCGATCTAGCCATGTCCGTCTGTCCGTCTGTCCGTCTGTCCTTCTGTCCGTCTGTCCGTCTGTCCGTCTGTCCGTCTGTCCGTTTCTACGCAAACTAGTCTCTCAGTTTTGAAGCTATCTGAATGAAACTTTGTAGTTAGCCTTCTATATACTCTCACTCGTATATATGTCGGAACGGGCCGGATCGGACGACTATATCATATAGCTGCCATAGGAATGATCGTAAAATTTTTACAAAAAAATTTTTAACTTTTTCAGTTTTCAATAGAATTGGATCAATTTTAAGATGTAGCCATTTTACTATACTCTACAATTTTGTGTAAAATTTTATGAAAATCGGACTAATATATCATATAGCTCCCATAGGAACGATCGAGAAATTAATACAATTAAATTTATAACTTTTTCAGTTTTCAACTGATTTTCATCAAATTTAAGGTATAGCTATTTTATATTAATCTTAAATTTTGTGGTAAATTTTATGAAAATCGGACGACTATATCTTATAGGTGCCATACAAACGATCGTTTGATGTAGAGGAAAAATGCAAATCTGTGTATGTAAAACTGCAAATATAATATATATAGGTGAATGAAATGAAAGCAGCTATTACTTCATTGTTTTTTAACACAAATATATATAATTTATATTGTATGGATTCCTATTCATAGAAGTTCTATCTGCAAGGGTATATAAACTTCGGCGTGCCGAAGTTAGCTTTCTTTCTTGTTTTTAATTTCATTTTGCCGTAGCTTAATCCACAGTGGGGAAAGTTTTTAACCCAAGGCCTTTGCCGCACATAAATCAGTCAGAAGCGAGCCACCTGCTGTCGGTGGAAATGCGCAAACTGGCGGACAAACTGACAAACGGACAGATGAGGCCGGGTAAAAGTCATCCAGCAAACTATGCAAATGAGTGAGTGAGTGAGTGAGTGGGGGGAACAGAGGAAAATAGCTTAAGTCAATCTGAAGTTGCCGCATTAATTTGAATGGTTCCCCATGAATTCAATTTATTATCCAACAGCGGACACTAGTAACGAACAGTGAACAAAGAACACGCGCATTATGGAGTTGACTGATATTCGTTTGCGTGGCATTATGCAATATGATCCGTTCAATGGAACGCTCGAGCAGTGCCATAAACTAAAGTACTTTCGACTGCCAAACGACTCGGAATATCCGCTTGATTTAAAACGTGGCTTTGACACGTATGTCCATCGAAATGGCGTCTTCCCCGGCGCATTCGATCTGGTGCAGAAGTACCTAATGAAGGTGGATCAGACGAAACAATTGCTGCAGGAGACTGATTTCATTCTCAATCGGCGTACACTCCTCATGTTTATGGAACCTACAAATCAATATTCAAAGGTCTTTTGCTTTGAGGCTTTTCGTTTCAAGGAGTGCATTTTTGTGAAGCTATATGACAATTCTGAACAAAATCAGGATTTACGAAGTACATATGCCTTCAAGGTACGGCAGTATCTACTGACTGGTAAGTGTTAAATACAACCATCTTGTGGCGTAAACGTAATCCATTAAATAGAGCGCTTCGGAGAGGCTCCCAATACGTGGACATCAATTGATGAAAGGATGCAGCAGTATGGCATGTTCTCGGCCAGGATCGGCCAGTTCCGTTTGCTTTATTCTGGTGAGCTCACGGGTCTGTCCAACACCGATCCCCTCGGTGATCTGTGAGTGTGATCCAATTTGATCCAAGACAAGACTAATTTCATCCTTTGCAGCACCGATCAAAAGGAGTTAGACAAGTGCCGCCTGACCCACATAAAGGTCGTTAAAGCGGCGATTAACTGGCGCTATAATTTTCGATGCGCTTCTTGGGTGAGACAGGCCTATTTGAGTGGCATCGATCAAATGGCTGTCGCTAGGTTCGATAACAATGGACAGGTGGTAAGGCCGATCGAAGTAGATTCCATGGAAAATTTGCTGAAGGTGCGTCTATTGCGACTATTAGAAAGCAGCTTTTAACCAATTGTAATAATCCATCATGTACGTATAGGAAAGGCATACGCTTGACATCGGTGGTTGCGTCCAGCGTATGCATCAGTTTCTTAAGAGGATCAGTGAGGAACTGGGTGATATCGATAATCCCGTTGTGAGCGTTAGGTTCACTCGAATTGGAGATAAACTGGTCTTTGAGAAGTCCCTCAACACCGAGTTCATTGACTATGTAAATCAACTATAGACGAAAGTCCAAACAATTAAATCATATGCTATCAACGATGCCAAGTACGCATAACCGTGGGTTAGTTCCCATCGAAAAAACATAACACGTTCTTTCATACGACATTGAACGCCGGGATGTGCTTAAAATTTAATGTGACGGCAGAAGATTCATGAACATTATGTTAATTTCAATAAATTTCAATTAAAACGCAAGAGCAAATATCTTATAATAACAAGATGAAATATGTGTCATTGCTTGTTAGGTATTGTGATCCAAATGAATCTCAAGATCTGCGTATTGCTATACCGGGACCTGGTGGTGACCTTAAAGCTTCAAAACTCACTGTATCTAGCGGACCATGGCCATGAAGGAGGCACCTCCAGCACCTCGTCCTGCTGTGCTATGCTATGCTATGTGCTCCATGTGCTCTCCTTGTGAGTGTGGTCTGTGATTAAAATGATATTTTCAGACAATGTCAAACAGCGTGTGACTAATGGGTCTATGGGTTGTCCGAAATGTCTGTTATTACTTGATAAATCTTGTCGGTCACACATTTTGGCACGGCACAATGGCCAACACACACAAAAACAGGCCAACCGCTTGGGTGTATACCCATCTCCGTGTCCGTGTCCGTATCCGTGTCCGTGTCCGTGTCCATGTCCGTTTGTTTTATGCAAATCCTTGAGGCCCCTGCTCGTCTGCATTCAGCTCTAATGACAAATGGGTCAAAATTTGCGGCTAATGACACAAATATGCTGGTTTCAGCCTATAAATTGTATGCATAAATAAAGCAAAAGGTCCACAACTGTAGAAACCAACAAAAAATAAAGAAAGGGGCGACTTCTTATGATTGAAGACTTGCGGCCTTGCGGACCTCTTATGTGTGCGCCCTTTGCCATTAATCAATGGACAAATAAACATGAAATTTACGTAAATTGACATTTGGCCATCGACCAGCGATTTGACGGACAATTTCCAAGATTAATAGAATATCCAATATATAAAAATCAAGTAAATACAATAAGAAATAATGTAAATACAGGTAAATAGGCATCGGATTAAATTAGCATTTTGAATACATTTACGTATATGCGTAGTTATTTTAAAATATATTTACATACAATTAAACCAAATATTATTAAGCGATCATATCATATCATTGACCGCACGGAGCTCAATGAATCCCTGAAATCTGCATCAAAAAACAAACAAACATATATGTATATAGTATAATATGCTTTCTTTAAAATGTACACATCCAATTTCTTACGGTCTTGAGGGTGTGAACATAAGGTTAAATAACATTACCTTTCTATTACAAAATTCTTTAAAAAGAAAGAAAACAGGTTCATTTGGGGGAAAACAAACGCACAATATATTATAATTAAAACATTTGGTGTATCAAATTTAAAGTAGAATTTTCTCATTAAAGACTAGATTCTAAACATTTGATGTATAATTTACGAGACTATAATTCTAGTTTTCAAATGGCATCACAAATGAGTTAACTTTATGAACCCGTTTGAGGTAATTTAATTGTTGGTTTAATAAGTAACATAATTATTTTTTACAAAAGTTGAAAGGTTGGTATTGCAAATTTTTTTTGTAATTTTATATTAGAAATTATAAATAAAAATCAAAAAAATTGTATAATTCCGTAGGTTTTTTATCAAACATATTTTCCAAGCAAATTCCTCCAACTTTGCTATGTATTAATAAGGCTTAAAGGTAGATTTGCATTTAAATTCCTATCTTAGCATATTGTAGATGTGATAGGAAAATATTATAATAAAATTAAATCAACAGACTATATTTCTCAAGTAATTTGTATGAAAAATGTTAGATTCCTAAGCACATTAGCATCCTTGATTGGTACTTTTGTAAAAGAAAACTTTTCTCTTCTAATTCGGGGAATTAATATAACTATACTTTCGGTCACCGAGTGCCATTGTTCGTTGCTGTATAAATATGGCTATCTATCTGTTCGAGTGCACACATCCGCTGACCAGAGTCTCGAGCACACTGATTCTGATTCTGATTCGGGAATGGGAATGGGGACCTAAGCAAATATGCAGCGAGCGTGAGAGCAGGTGATGGGCGGGCGAGCGGAAACGGAAGTGGAAGTGGAAGTGGAATGGGGCTAGTCACGAAGTCATAGCGCATCAGGAATTGCCTTTATTTGTCTTCATTACACTGGCCTCTCAGAAGAAAAAGAGAAAACGAAGTCAACCAGGAAATTCAAATACGCTTACGACTCGAACCACAATCGAAGCCCATCGAGCCCATGTACACCTAGAGAAATGGTTTACAATGTGACATAGTTCTCTTACATCAAGAGTGTGACTCCATGAATGTGTAAGCCCCTTAGATTTATTTCCAGTGTAGACACTCACTCACTCGCATTGTTTTGCCAGACTTCTGTTTCGCATTTTTTCCTTTTGAGAGTTTCAGTGAATGTCGCAGCGATGGCACTCTCTCTCTCTCTCTCTTCCGCTCCTTTGACTTGCCAGATTAAGGACATGGCTGGGGGTTTGTTCGGCAAGTTTTTTGCGGCTTTGCCTTGATAATCCCAAATCCCACGTCCCTTTTGCAGGACATCAAGGGCATTAGCATGTGATATGTGGAAGCAACTTCTTCGGATTCTTTTTCTTCTTTTTTTTGCGGATTCGAATTTGTATGTAAATGGGTTTTTTGGCAACGACGATGGCACTGACTTTATGGAACTTGGCCAAAGTTTTTGGTCACAACTCTTGAAAGTGACAATTCTCTTTTCTCTCTCACTGTTTCGGTTCTGTCCATTTGAAGCTTCTTAATTAGCAAACAGAGAAGGGGAAATGGCAAAAGGAATCGAAGGAGTTGCGGTGTTTCAGGTGCCTTGGACTTAATCAAAAATTCAGTTGAAAATCCCCAGCAAGAGTACTCTTTGTCTATTCATCAACTGTTGCTGCTGTTGCTGTATAAAGCCATAAAAAAAAAAAACAAAAATGAAAATAAAAGAAAAGCCATATTGCCCCCAAAACCCGTCATCATTCCGCTGGCCATTTGTCGTCAGCATAAGCGGGATCAGCTGAAGAGTGTGGTCTTAGTGGGCATTAATGAGGAAAAGCGAAGCAGAAACCAGGCCCAAGGTCCTAAGTCAACACCCCTGGCTCACTTCCGTTTCCGCCTCCGCCTCCGCCGCAGCTCACCTTTCGCGGTAATAAGCTGCAATTTTATTATTACATTTGCGCCACCGCCCAGCCCTGTGTCTGTGCTTGGTAATTTCAGATAAATGAGAATACATAAACAAAAGATCTCATTAAATTTTGGCGCCCTGGCAGAAGTCTCTTTTTGGCCACAAAGTGTGTAACTGGCCAGGTATTTATTCAAGTCTTGGATATATCGAAGCACAATTGCATGGTGCACTGAATCGATTTATTTTGATCTCTTATAAATTATCTACCTTTTCTCTCAATCTCTTCCCCAATCCAGGTTCATTGTTTGATTTTATAATCATTTCAGAGATTTACACTTAAAACTTGAAGTCTTGAGCCTCGTTAGCATTCTCCAAGGGGGGATACTGGGACAGAGAGATTGGGCGGGGAATCCTTTTGTTTTGGAGGCTAATTAAGCAAGAGCCTGAAGGACCGAGACGCTGGGAAAATATCTATGAAAAATTGATTTAATGGTACGTTAAACGAGGGCTATCCTAGGGCATTATTTTAAGGCGCTTCAATGAAGATATAAAGGTGAATGGTGAATCTTAATTGAAGCTATTACAAAATATCTATAAACTATTTCCATAATAAGGATAATTTCAGTGAATTAGTCATAATTTAGCTGTATTTTCTAAACAGTACTTGGTTGTGTATTTTTATAGAATTTAATTTCAAGTTCGATCTGAATATTTTTCCACTTACAGAAAGAACTCTCGTCTTTGCAAATTACATTCAATATAAGCAAAAGGTATAGATGTATATACATAAGTTTTCAATAATCCAAAAACATTTGGTACAAACAAATTCCACCAGCAAGGAGGGGAGAGAAATGAAATTATTTTTTAGTGCTGTCCTGACGAAGGAGAAAGTGGACAAAAGTCCTGGGGGAAAAAAATGCAAGCTAAACGAGCGAAGAGAATGGAATTTCGTTTTCATTTCCTCCTTCTTTTTTTTCCGGCTGCTTGACAATTTATGAACTTTCATTTGTCTTCTGTTTTGGTTTTATCTCGGACATGGTCGGGTATGATGAATGTTGCCTAGAACTTGGTTGTCACTTCACCTCCTCCACCACACCAAGTTAGACTTTAAAACGTTAATTATTATTTATGCTCGGCGACAAACAGGGAATGGAAATAAATTCATATATCTGGGATTTACTCAACTAACTAAAAATAACAATTCAAATTGCAAAAAGTATCAAAGGACACTGTCAGCTTTTGAAGTCGATTTATAACAATTAGTTTAGCTTACAGAATAACTTAAAGTTTGATTGTCCTTCAAAGATTTTTTGTGACACTTAAACAATAAGTTTTTAGGTAATGATTTCCTTAGACATTTATGTATTTATTTGGTGAGTTCTAAAAAGGGGACTTCTTTGAGAGCCTTTTACCAATAAATTGACAGAAACAAATCATATTTATGAATTTTCAGCAACCGCAAAAACCTTAAGCCTTAGTGGCAATTTATTAGCTTTTA